TTCAATATTTGGTGATACCCATCTTGTCTCCTTTTCTCCCAGCTAAACAATCCCAGCTCCTCTAACCACTTTTACTAGGGCCTGGATTCTGGTTACCATCTCTCCTTGTGGTCATGCCACAGAATGCATACATTTCAATATTTACTCATTTGACAGATATTTATTGAGTGCCTACTGCATGCCATGAACTCTCCCAATAGGTCCATATATTCTTGTGTGAAGCCAAGAACTAAAAATCGTGCTACAGATGTGATCTATAGTTCTGCTATCAGACAACAAAAACTTAGTCCAGTCATTTAGTGTCTTTCTGGATGAGTTTCTTCCAGAATATCATTTCCCATTAATCTGGAAGCCATACTTTTATTAATGTAACTGAAGACTACAGCAGTTTCGTTTTGTTCCTATTTTTACTTCTACCGTTGTTGTTTTTAATCAGGAAAAATGGTGGTCACTGTGGCAACAATCCCCAAATCTCCACTTCTTAATCCTTTAATGGTTTGCTTTTGCTCACTTTTTTGGTAACATGAGGCCACAGGTCAGGAGGCAAGGGCAGGGGAGGGGCTCTGCTCCACACAATCTTTGATGGGCCCAGACTTTGGCATCTCTTAGGTTCTCAGGGCGCCCCAGTGGAATGAGCCCTAAGTCAAAGGAAAAGAGAAATTATGGAGGAGGCTTAGTATGCTTAACTCTCTTAACCCAGAAGGGAAGCACATCTTCTCATGTTCTAAGGTCAAAAACCAGTCACAAGAGAGGTTGGGAAATGTAGTCTAGATGGTTTCTATACCCAGAAAGAAGAGAGAACCTGAAGTATGTTGATTATAGCAGTGTCCACACAGCTTTTTTGGCAGCTGTCACTCACCATGGCCTTGAGAACTCATTGCCCGTTTAAACCCTAAATCTCTTACAAAAAGCCACATGAATTACATTGCCCTAAATTTGTACAGTTGATTTATTAGACTCAAGAGTAGATATTTGTTAAATTTTTGTCTGATTCAATTCAGACTATTTGTTCTGTTTGGTTTATAATCTTTATTGTCACAAGTTATATTTACCATCGCTTCCATGTTCATATCATCGTATCATCTGTAAATTCATAAAATTGTTGTTATATCCCCATTGAAGACATTAATGAAAAAGTTACACTATCTGGGGCAGAGGGCGGAGCACAGTATTGGAAACCCCCTTGGAAGGTACCAGAAATGAGTGTCCCTTGTATTTACCATCCTTTCAATGATGAAGTGATAGAAAGAGAGAGAGAGATACATAGATATAGTCACTCTGCTAAAATGCACATCTCTTCATCATTCCCTTGCTTAAAGTCCAAAATTTATTTATTGAATGAACATTTGTTAACCTTTACTGTGGACCAGTTACCATGCTAAACTTTTGATACATTCATCTTTAATACTCAAAAGTACCTAAAAAGTAGTTACGCTTATCTTCCAGATAAAGAAACAAACTTAGGAAAATAAATCCACTCAAGCTATGCAGTTTGAAGTCAGAGTTTAAACCCTGGTGTCTACCTCCAAGCCTCCTTTTACATGGACTTCATACCCTTCATTACCTCAGTGGGTCCTCTGCTCTCCTTCCTCTCTGGGCCCTACAGGGACGGGGTTGCGGAGGGAGGGATAATCTCAGTAGGACATACCTCCATTATTCTCCAGGGACTGTTGTTATGTTCATCATCACTCATTATTTTTCCAAAATCCAATGTCAAATTAACCAAACCATGGATTTCTCCATATCCAGTAGGTCTGGCCTTTTCTCTGGATATACTTTGACTCTTTTGGCCCCTCCTGCACTCTTGAAATACCTTCTTTCCTTGGCTTCAGCGATACCCCACTCTCCTGATTTCCTTCTCTCCCTCTGGCCATTCTTCCTTTATCTTCTCCTCTACTTAGAATTAAATGTTTTTTGTCCTTAAAGTCTAGGCCCCCATCTTCTCATCCATGCCTGTGGCTACATCACCACATACGTGCATACAAGTGCATACGTACATATGCCATTTCAGACTTTTCTCTGACCACCAGGCCCAAATATCCAGCTACTTCCTTGGCTCATCACACTCAACAGCCTAAAAAGAAACATGAGCTTCCCTGGTGAACCTGGTTTTCTTTCAGGGGTCCATTTAGCTCACTGAACAGCACCCCTATGTACACCAGAATCTGAGAATCACCTCTCTGCCCATCACCATCCTGTTGTTTTTGTCTCGTAATTATCTCTACTCACTCACTCTCCCCATCTCTGCCACTCCTATCCCAATCCAACCTTTCTGTGCCATCTCTCCTGAAGTAGCCTGCTGGCTGGTCTGCCCGCATCCATCCTGACAATCCACGCCCCACACTACAACCAGAGTGATCTTACCCTAACTTAAATCTATTTACATCTTCCTCTGCTTTAAACTCTTCAATGGCTCCTCACTGTTCCCTGACCTCTAGCCACCCTTTCTCAGGCCCCCTTAGATACCACGCTCCCTCCTGCCACAGGACATTTGTACATGTTGTCCCTTCTGCCTAAAATGCCCTTTCCCATGACCATCCCACCCCCTTACCAGAAATAAATCACATTCCTGCCTCGCTTTAGGGAAACACCACTTCTTAGGAAAGACCAGGTCAATTTCCCAGTTATATGCTCCGTTCCTCTGTAACAGTTATCATGGCTGTCATTTTACATTTGTTCCAGTGACTCTTTGATTAACATCTGTCCTCCCCACCAGACTGTAAGCTCCACAGGGGCAAGGCCAGTGTCTCCTTGTACCCTCTTTGTATTCCCATTGCCTAACAGAGTGCCTAGCACATTTCTGCTGAATAAATGAATGACCCAACCCACATGCCAGCTCTAATCATTTGATTCCCAGGAAACTGTCCCGATTTAATGAAAACGAAAATATCTGCTTCATTATTAAATTTTGTCTTCATGAGAATTCTACTGTGGGTGAGGCTGGAGCCAGCATTTCACCTAACCAGTAGGTGCATATGCATCCATGTGCATGAAATCTGTCATATTAGTGCACAGCACATGATGCAACATAAACTCCAATGCTGGAATGTTTTCCAATCATGAGCTATTAATAATTTAACAAAATTAATTCAAAACACTTCAGTCACCAGTGAAATAGAGATGAGGAGGAAATGAGGCGTGTGCCAGTCTTCCAGGGTTGAATTAAACAGTAAAACAAGTAAAAAGGGGAAAAAAGCCACCGACCTTTGTTTAAAGTGAACGTCCCTGTTTAGAATTTAATATAAGTTCTATGTTTTTCTAAAGATGTTAAAGAACAAACATCAGAGACATGGGTAAAAATCTTTGCTTTACACAGGTGAGTGATTTAACATGGTAATAGTCATTTGTCAGACCTCAGAAAAGGAAAGAAAAATAGAAGGGATTTTTTTTCTTCAGCATGAGGCAGTAATCAAGTCAAAGAAAAGCTTTCAGTAATTATTATTATTAGGAGTGATCATTAGGAGTAAAAAGTGGGACGAACAATCCACAGAGCATGGAATTAGCTCCTACCCGGAGGATCCCACAATTTTCACTAGAACAGTGTAGGGAGACAGGAGACATTTATTAGAAAAACAAGTGAGCCCCTAATGGAGCAAAGTTTTCCCCTTAAAATTTCCCTCTGGATAGGGAAGCCAGCTGAATTCCCACCCCCAGGCACCAAGAGTGAAGAGGAGAAAGATGTTGGGCAAGCTGCCACCATCATTCTCCAGACACAGGGTGGGGAAGTCAAAACGTTAACTCTGGTCATTGAGAAACCTTGGAACGTAGACCAGTGGTCCCCAAACACTAGAGGATCACAATCACTTGAGGACTCGTTACAATGCAATGACTGGGACCCACCCCCAGGATTTCCAGTTGAGTAGGTCAAGGGTGGGCCCAGGAACTTGCACTTCTAACATGTTCACAGGTAATGCTGCTGCTGCAACTGCTGCTCTGAGGACCTCCATTTGAAAACCACATGCAAAACTTCTAATAGTATTGATTGCTTACACTGTGCTGAGACTTTTATGTATGTCATCTCACTTAATTTTTATGACAATACTGTCAAGGGGAAATAAATATCCCCATCTTACAAGGAGGAAACAGGCTGGGGCATTAGGTGACAGGCCAGCTCAATAAGTGGAAAGTACGGTCTAATTCTAAAGCCCAGTCTTAACTGCTCTTCTGTACAGTCTTCTTGGCATTAGGCTGAAATTTAAGAAGCCCTCCTATAAACCAGGGCAATGTCAATTCCAAATAAATCATCATCAACCTCCTCCTGACCCGCCGAAAATTAAAAATCACTAAATTGACTTTCAAAGTCTATGGCAGCAGTAAGCCCACAGACACACTGAAAGATGCTTATGGTTAAATGTTATTGGTCTGTAGTAATGCACTGTGAAAGGATAATTAAGGACACTGCATACAGCAGCTGGATGGATGTGCGAGGACATAAGGGAGAGAGAAATGGAATAAAAGAATAGAAGGCGCCAATGGAATCATGTTAGGGACTGAGAAGTGTGGATCTTACCGCGAATGAGTAACAGAGAAGACCACCAGGGAGCCATCAAGGGTCCTGGAGAAGAGACGGGGACAGTCAAAATAGAAAGAACTTAGAAATCAGAGTTCAGGTCTTGAAGAACACTGCCAAGGTGACATAATGACCAATGCAGGAACCAGGGACCGGCAGCAGGGAGGTTGTAGAAGTGCTGCTATGTCATGTAAATGAATTCTTCTTCTTCACAGTTACGGTTGTTGCTCTCCAAAGAGACCTACATCCTAGAAAATAGGCAGCAGTCAGGAGACGGGCTTTAGAGTGTAACAGATGGTGCCTGGGTAACACTGGTTACAACACCCCTCCATACCTCAATGACTCATCCATTTAATGGAACTAATAATTCCTACCTCAAAGGGTTGTAAGAATTAAATGAGGTAATGTATGTAAAGCACTTGGTACCTGGGGCATTGTACCAGCTCAGAAGATGCTGGATCTTTTATTATTATTGCTATTGTTGCTCGGTTATTATCATCATTAATATCATCATCCTCAAGGGAAGAACAATTATTTTTAAAGGCAAGATATAATGGCTTAGATCATCTTCAGTGAAAAGTTCACGGGTATTCCTTCTGTTAATCAGAAGCTTGGCAGTTCGGGTCGTGTGGTTTCTAATGACACAGGTGTGCCTGATAGAATTAGCAAAAAGTAAGATAAAATAAATAAAGCAGCATTTGGTGCCCTACTTTTCTCCAGTACCATTTACATGTTCTCCTGATTAAATTTCTGAGTAAACTCCATTCCACAACCGTGCTGGGTTTGCTCGGATGCACTATAGAATGATTCACAGCCTCGACAGAAACTTCTCCGTTCCAAGTGCCAAATTCCTTGCTGTAGGTGCGATATCAGAATCCATTTATTATTTTACCCTCACTTAATTAATTCCACTGCCAGCTACCTGTTGATGATGGAGCTCTGTTGACAATGCTGAACAAAGTTTTAATCTAAAGAGTTTTAATAACGTGTTTACTGCTGGGTGGTCTGCCACTTTTGATTAAACTTCATGAGGATTTATAACCATCTTTCCCCCTACATGCCTGTAACCTTTAAGGGATGGCTGATAAAAAGCAGAGGTCGTGGGTTCCAAAAGCCCTTGTTCTAATAAATACGTTAGACAGCTGATCCTGAACATGCAGCTGTTTCTCATTCTTCCTCCACCCTCCCCTCACTTATTTTTTACAGCGCTTCCGAACAAGGATAAAAATTAACACAAGTAGAATTAATGGTTTAATTTTGCAAGAGAAAGGGGAGAGTTTACGATGTCTCACTGAGGGAAGGGGCTCCTGTCTTTGCCGATGACCCAAACATGTCTGCCAAGGAGAAATATGGTGTCCAGTCTCCCAATGAACTGCCACAGGAATGGATTGGCCGTGCCTTCTGGCTTGACAGGTGCAATAAATATTAATTAGTGTGCTTGGCTACAGAGGGAGTAATGATATACACTGCTCCTCTGAAGCGTTAAATTGTAGTGTTAGTCTTGATAATGCCTCATCTTCTCCATCACGGCAGGAAAACATTTTGAGTTACATGCGCCCCAGTATGGGCAAAGGAATAAAGGTTTATCTGTTGTCAGGACTTACAGGTGTGAAAAGTGGAGGTTAAGACTGATGGTGAGTTAGGCACTAGGCATTCCCTGTGTGATTGTTGCGTTCTTTTTTTAAATCAACATTTCAGGTGGCACGACCAATTTCCAAAATGTTTGCTGTTGTTACGGGATAAAGCAAGACATTCTGCTATTGTCAAGATATTTGATTACACTGGAAATGGATTTGAAAACTCCTTATCTGAAACAACCACTGCAAATATGCATAAATATTAGAGGAACTGTGTTTATTAGATTATGGGGGAGTAGGTATTTTATGATGTTGGACTGAATTATTAGGATGTTCCTGAGTGTTTGTGAAGAAGTACTTATAACAGCCTGGGAGCTAAAGATGGCTGTATTTGGGAACTAAAGATAAAACCTGCTCTTAAAATTCAGCTCTGATCACAAACAAAAAAGCAGGCGAGGAAGCCGTGATAAGAAAATTAACATTAGCACTGATTCTAGGCTTGCAACAAAACGTGTTTTTGAAATGGGTATGTTTAGTTGTTTACACCTGAAGTTACAGCAAAACAACAGCATTTTACCAAGAAAAGAGGCTCTAATTAAATACTGATATTTTCCAAATCCTTAATTATAATGGCTTACTGTTCTGCCCAAGGGCTTCTCTAGGAGCTAATTTACTGGAATATTACCATTTACACTTTTTTCATTTGCTGAAGATCTTGCTCCCTCGTGAATTGTCTTTTTTAGTTTGTTGTAACTTCATTTGGCATTCTCTTTCTGGGAATGTTTCCTATACCCTGTATAGGAAAGACTAGCAAGAAATTTGGCAAACAAAGTTTCATTCTGGGTGGAATTCTTCCCCCTCCTGCATGGCTTAAATGTGTTGATATCTGTTTCTGTACTGCAGCTGCAAAGAAATGGTTTTTGGCAATGCAAATGCATACATGTTTCTTATTCTCTCCTGGAGCTCTGGTTCTAGCAGCATATCCCCAAGCAAGCATTTATAGAGCTACAGCAAGCACAGGGAAGCAGCACCCAATGGGCACTGAAATATTAACTAATGATGAGTTGCCCTGAGTCAGCAGGTACCTGGGGCTTAGGGCCAGACCACTTCTGCAAATGTATGCCAGGCAATCTCCCAGGACACAGGCAGCTGCAGTCAATGGGACATGACTTCTCCCTATTCCCTCCTCCCCACAACACTCCCACCTGCTTTCCCAAAGAGAAGCAGAGTCCATCTTCCCCCCATGTCCTTGAAAAAGATTTAGCTACCTTCTGAAGGTGGGTTCCACAACTACAGTCCTCTATGTTTATTGCCTACAAGATCCTAAAGCAGAGATCACTGTGTATAGATAGCTGATAGGAAGTAGGAACTAATATGTGAATGTCACCTCTTGTCCCCAACATAAAGTCAGACCCTAGAACTTCATCCTTGGCAGGCTGGACCAAGAGGTGAACAGGGAGGGCAATGGGGTAAGAGCAGGCCATATTCTCTAGCCTCAAGTAATAATATGCCCCTGGACTAGAAGGTTCTCTTTAGGGGTTATGAAAAAATTCATAGAAATGACCAAGATTCTGTCATTAAAATACAGATAATTAATGAGGTCCTTGAAGAAGATTAGAAGATGGATACTATGGTCCCGTTATTAAACACTGGTGTGTGTTTGCTACCTACTTTGAAAAATTTTCAAAGTTCAGTCCCCTCAACCAAATCAAGGTATTTATTTCCAAAGTCAAACCAGGAGATAGTATTCAGGAATGCACTGGTCCCATGAAAATTAAAAGTCTACCAACCAAATATTAAGAAAAGTATATCAAAAATTGAGCAAGCTTTGATCTTTTCCTTTGAGTTCCAGTAATTCCTTAAAACTCTCTTCCACACATAAGAAGCCATCTCTGCTCTAGTCCTGAGCTATGACCTAATGATTGGAATTACCAAGCTCCCCCTAGGCATGGTTAAGAGACTCAAACAGAAAAATGTCTAGTTAGATGCAATTATGCATTTTCCCATAAGAACAGAAAAGCTCCTATTGAAACCTCTAAAAATATATATCTCAGAAGCCTAAATAGGGGGGATTTTAAATAAAAATGCTAATAATTTGGAACCAGACAGATCTGGGTTTAAACATGGGATTCATCACACATCAAGGAGATATGTGGTCCTTGGTAAGTTGCTTGAGCCTCAGTTTCCTCATCTGTAAATTAAGTTCAGTGGTACTTCTCTCAAGGGGCCATTCGGAGGATCAAATGAGTCTATGTTTATAGTGTCTGGCACAGTGCTTAGTGCTAATGCATAGATGCTACTCATAGCAGTTACATGATAATAGTAAATACTATAATTATTGCCATTAAATTAAATTTCAGAACCTTCATCATGACCCTGCATTGACAGATGCCTTTCCATAGTCATCATAGCTTGTGGTAGGGAGCAATACAGCTGCAAGAAGATTCCATGCCCCAATCCCCAATCCAAGGCTGTGAATCTGATGAGACATCACACCCATGAATATGTTACAATCAGTATATTTAAAGGACTAATCAATTGACTTTAAAATAGAGTATCATAGATAATCCAAAGCAGGTCCAATAAAAATCATACAAGCCCTTAAAAGCAAAGGCAGTCAAGACAGAGAACTGAAATCTGAGAAGGACTTAACCTGTTGTTGCTGGCTTGAAGATAGAAGGCGTGTGTGAGAAAGAAATGAATTCTGCCAACCACCAGCGAGGCCTCCCAAGTTCCCAGATAAGAAGTGCATCATGACCAACATCCTGATTTCAGCCTTAGGAGACACTAAGCAGAAAACTCAGCTGTGCCCAGACTTCTGACCCATAGAAACTGTGGGATAATAAACGGATGTTGTTTTAGGCACCTAAGTTTGTGGTCACGTGTTAGGGCAGTAATGGAAACTACTATAGCCATCTGTCCCTTATTATAAGAGACAGTTTTTGAACATGCCATCATCTTTCTACCTCAGGGCCTTTGCAAAGGCTGATTCCTCCATCTATGAGCTCTTTCCCCAACTCTTCACCCAGCTAACACTGTTTATGCATACTTGGTGTCAGGTCAAATTTTACCACTTCATAGAAGCAGTCTTTGACTTTCTAAAGGGGATCCCACTGCTACCTCCCCCCCACCATTTAGACTCTCTTTCAAGACCCTATTGGCCTCTTCCCAAGCTTTTGTCAGAGTTTGTAATTATTTTGTCTTTTTTTTCATTCATTTTTCTCTACTTGTCTGTAAATGCAGCACATACCATGACCCAATAAATAGTTACTGAATGAACATGGTTTAATACTCTATCGCACTTGATCTTTATGAATTGTATCTGCTTCCATGAGGTATTATTATCCCCATTTTACAGATGAGGAACCTGAAAAGTACAGAGATTGAGTAATGTTCCCAGGACCACACAGCCCTTAAGTGATTCAGCCTGAGCATGACCCCAAAGTGATTGTTCTCAGTCTCCAAGCTTTCATGCCCCTCTGATGTAAGGTCTACAGATAGGAAAATATAACATCAGAGCAAGCCAACAGATTTCATTCCCCCAAACTCAGATTTTTGGAGTGCTCTGAGATGTAACAGACCCTTACATTCAAACCTTCACCTCAAGCCACAGCGACTGAGGCATGGTCTCTGTATCAGTGTCAGGGCTGCCAAAACAAAATGAGTGGCTTAACACAACAGAAATTTATTATCTCACAGTTCTGGAGGCTAGAAGTCTGAAATCAAAGTGCCAGCAGGGCCGTGTTCCCTCCAAGACCTGTAGGGGAGAGTCCTTCCTTGCCTCCTGCTAGATTCCGGTGGATGCTACGATCCTTGGTGTTCCTTGGCTTGTAGCTCCCTCACTCCAGCACTCCTTCTGTCTTCACGTGGCATGCTCCCCTTGTGTATCTGTTTCCAAATTTCCCCTTTTTATAAAGACATATAAGTCATACTGGATCAAAGGACCACCCTGGTCTAGTATGACCTCATCATTACTTAACTAATGACACCTGTAAAGACCCTATTTCCAAAGAAGGTACATTCTCAGGTACTGAAGATTAGGATTTGGACATATGAATTTGGGGGCCACAATTCCACCACTAACAATCTTCATACTACAAATATGTGATTTTGATGTTTATCTCTATGTCTGTGCAGGTCCTACTCCTCTCTGCTGATGCGCAGCTCCTTGTTACCCGGGTAGACCACAGTGGCTGAGGTCAGAGGCTGCCACTGCTGCCACGGTGGCTGCGACAGGAGGGAGCAATTAGAGAAAAGCCTTGTTTGTGAAAGCCGAGCTCTGCCGCCTCATTACTTTCTCCCCCACTTCCTGCTTCCTCCTTGCTCTCTGGTCAGGCTCTTGGGTGGTCATTTACGGGAAAGCACGTAATAGGCATGATTCACTGTGAAAGTGTGATCACTGTCTTGGACATTTGATTTTTGTAAATGAGAGTTTTACAAAAGCATCTGCGGTTGACTCCTTTCTTGATGATTCTAACTGGAGACAAAAATAGAAACATGTACAGCAACCACCAAAATTAATGGCGCCAGATTATTAAAACACTAAAATGCCCGCTCCTGACACTGCAGCCAGTCATGACTCATATATGTTTTATTGTACTAGCAAGAGACCACCGCACAGCTTGAAGTGTGACTTTGAGGTCACTGAACATGGGGAATTCTCCAACTGTTTCACAGCTACCACAGGGTATGTCTGCAGAGCCTGCATATTTGCAGGGGGAGAAAAAAAATCTGTTTTAAAATTAGCCAGTCAAAAATTTCCAATAATAGAAAAATTGTGAGACGAAACCCATAAAATACGCTTTAGGGCATCTACTATCTATTGGATATATTGGGACTGGAGCAAAGGACCCCTGGCTTTTAGTAAAATAAGTGTTGCATTTCTTAAGCTGTTTGTTCTCACTCATCTCAGGCTTCCCGATAGCCCATGGTTACTAAAAGGAAAGCAGTAAGAATAAAACATTCTAATAATCAAACCACACTGTTGTTCATGAAGTCCTGGCATTCTGGGTCACATGTTCCAAAATAATAATTAGATATTTGCTACTGGTATGGCTTGGAAACAGGAAAAGACAATGGACTCTCTGCAATACAGGGACAGGCATTAACCCGTTAGTGCCTGGATGCTGGAGGAGGTTTGAGGCGTCCAGAAGACGGATGTCCAAGAAGGGGCACTCGAGGGACAAAGGATCATATTTACCAACTGATCAATTGTACCCGTGAGAACCAGGTACAGCCCAACACTGCAAATTTATATCCCAAAGCTCGCCTTGGATGTAAGTATCTGTAGACACACTTTACCATAAAGGATATTGGTTGGTATTTTCTTGGGGGTACAATGTGAGGTTCTCCCAGCTATCCCTTGCTATGTCCCTCTAAGGTCCTATTAAGCCACTGAATTGTGGCATTGTTTTACCTGAGCCTCAGCTGTCCGTATGAGGGGAGTCTTGCTGAGTCAGAGGAGTCCCTATGTCACTAGACGGTTAGCCCCTATTCACAAAAGGTGGTGTTTCCCAGACATTTCCAATACAAGATGTGGCGTTTTTACCGGAAGCACTAATTTTACAGGAAATAAATATATTCAAAGACACTCATACAGATTTTCTGCTCAATAGATGATGCTTACTTTAAACATAGCTTCAGACATTCCCCCAGGTAATTTCCCACTATACCTTGTGATATAGCTGTCACAGGTCAAAATGGAATAATGGTTCATTACTGTAGTAAAAAAAACAATAGTTGGAAAATCCATAAACTGTTTCTCTGTAAGCTTAAAGGAAGAAAACAGATAGCCATGAGAATAATCCATATTCTTTAATTAGTTGTCAACAACTGAAGCTCAAATCTCACATTTAAATAAAATCTGAATTTCCAGATTGGCTTTAAAAATTGATGACCTGGCCACCCTGGACCTGCCTTCCCACATTACAGCAGTCAGGAAGGGCTGGCCCAGTGGTCAGCCCCAATTCACCACAATCCCCACCTACTTGACTCATTTCCATTACCCGCCTGACCTCTGTGGGCACTTGATTATGTCTGCTATTGCCAAGGCCAATTTCCTTCTGTAAGGAAAGGCCTCTTTATTGATTAAAACTTTTCAGAACATTAACCTGAATTTTCTTATTCTTGGTCACTGCATGTGAAATTCAATACTCAAACTATCCCAAAACATCCTCAATTGCTATTCAAGTCAGATGCACTTACTTAAATAAGCAATTAGCCTTGGCAATAAAAGCCTGAAAAGAAATGAAGTTCTTCCCTAGATGATGCCATTAGTCAGTGTCCAAGTGTCGATGTGTAGCAAATATTGTGCCAGTTCTGGTACCAAGGAGGTTGAAGACAGGAGCGTCTAATGTTTCAGAAAACTCAAAAGGGGCAGAAGGTGAGGTTGGCTGAGAAGTGGTAAATGAATCTACTAAATGTCTGCTGTGTATACAGTGCTCTACTAGGCAGGCTGTGAGCTTGGGAGGAGGGGTAGAAAATTGAGACAATGGACCCCCATTTTCTTGGGAGTACAATGTGAGGTTCTCCCAGCTGTCCCTTGCTATAGCCCCCCAAGGTCCTATTAAGCCACTGATCTGCGGCATTGTTTTATCAGGACCTTGGCTGTCCATGTGAGGAGAGTCTTGCTGAGTCAGAGGAGTACCTATGTCACTAGCTGGTTAGCTGGTTTTCTTGGGGGTACAATTTGAGGTTCTCCCAGTTGTCCCTTGCTACGACCTTAAATGTATGAATGGTTAATATATAATGTGTATATATGTGAATATGAATATGCATTTATACATATATATTCATATATGTATATATATGATATATGACTTGCCACTGGTTGGGAAATCAAAATAACCATAAAATACATCTGTAAATCAATGGCTGGTATTTAGGGTACTAGTATAACTTAAATATTACGGCCTTAATATTTTATAAATAGGAAAAGCAAATTCCCTGTGTTACATAGAGTCTCTTCATAGAAGGTTGGTAGACTGTCAAATATATGCATAAACATGCTGGAAAAAATTCAAAAATATATAGTCATTTTTACCTCTTTGCTCAGAATAAATTAGTGCTGCCTATAGAGTTTCATCTATGAAACTTGACTTAGGTTTGCCAACAGGGAAAAGATGGCTCAGTTGAAAGGCAATACATATTTTACCATTGTCTACAGTAAAAGGAAAATGAAGGCTTTGTAGAAATCACTCATATGTTCTCATCTTCCTCCTCCTTCCCTAGATCCCAGTACTTTTCCTACCGTGGAAGGTAGGAAAATCAAGATCCAGCACATGTCCTCCCCTTGGGAAGTCTCAAGCCATGAACTGGAGCTGAGGTGACTGACTGCTCTTTCCCTTTGACAAAAGGTACTTAATCTCCAAATATATTGCTTGAGAGAAAAAACTTTAAAGAATAAAAACTAATTTTCAAACACTTTTCTTTCACAATTAAGCACAGACTTGACTGAAACAGAAGCTCTTGCTAAATCTGAATGGCTGAAAAACCCCACATTTGACTCAGTTGTTCTGTAACAGAGTAGGGATAGGTAAGTTGATGTACACTTACATGCCTTAATTTAATAAATAAATATTTATTGAGTACCTACTGTGTGCTAGATACTAGGGGTATAAAAAATGCAGCCCCAGACTTAAAAGGACTCAGTCCATCAACATTCATGATGTCTGATGAAGAATAAGATATCATAAATGCTATAGTAACAGTATGTACAAAATACTATGGGAGTATTTCAGAAAGAGGCATAGTGAATCTGTCAGTTAGCTACTGCTGCATAATAATGCACCCCAAACTTGGACACAAAATTCCAACCATTAATAATTTCTCACATGTATAGGAGTCAGCTGAATGATTCTACTGATCTTGGCTTGGCTCAATTATGTATCTGCAGTCAGATGCTGGATGGCCAGTCCAGGGTAGCCTTGTCTGGGTCAACCTGGGTTATGACTTGGCTTTGTTTCATGTGTCTCATTTCCAGTAGGACCCCCTGTACATGTTCTCAGAGAAAATGCAGAGGATCAAGCAGGAAAAAAAAAAAGCCAAAATTGACATATGGCTTTTTTAAGCCTCTGCTTGAGTGACTTTTTACTGTCCCTTTAGCCTAACCAAGTCACAAGAACAAGCCTAGTGTCAGTTTGAGAAGAAATCATCAAGTAACTGAACAAAGGATATGGACACAAGAGGACATTTAATTAGGGTCATTGATAAAAACTGCTCTACCCAGTGGAGAAAGAAGAAAGCATATGTGGAGGTGACTTTGTAGAATGAATAGAATATTTTAAAGTGTAGACAGGGAAAGGGTATTTTAGGTGTAAGAAAAACAGATGAACAGTTTCTTTACTGCAAAGGAGAGACTGGCAGAAAGAGAGAAACTGAAAGCTAAGGAACCAGTTAGGAGCTGCTACAGGTGCATATGCAAAAAATAATTAAAATAAAATAAGGACTAGAGAAGATGGCAGCAGCAGAGAAGGCAAGAAAGGAAGGGATTGAGAGGCATCATGAGAGCAGAATCTACACGAACGAATGGATATAAGAGCTGGGCAAGAGACAAGACTCAAATGTGAACTGAAGTATGTGTGATGAACATCTGAGTTGATGACACTGTTAGTAACAGATCATCAAAGAGAAGCAAGTTTGGGGGCAAAGAGAGAGAATGAGCTCTGGTTTTGTCATGTTCATTTAGAGGTACCTGCAACAGTAGAGAGATCTGCCATATAAAGAAGAAAATTTTCAAAGATTAATGAGCACTGCTGAGGGCAGCTGTGATAAATTGGAAAAAACCATGATTATGGAGCTGGAACTGCTGGAGTCCCAGCTTTTCCCCTTATTAATTGTGTGAAAATATGAGAATAAAGCAGAGAAGAAAATGTGGTAACACAGGGGGTTACCAATTGTTCATTTACTGATATGTTTTAAATCCTTATCTTGCTTTTGCTTTAGTGCTGCCTCTTCCTCCAGTCTACATCTTCTGTTCATTTTATAAAATCAGCCATGCCTACAAAATTCTTCAGGAGGAAAAAAACTCAGTGTATCCAGAGGGATATGCATTTCACCTACAGGTTTCATAAACCACTTGAGATTTTTTTATTATCAATAAGCTCTGTTCAGATAAGCTTACTGCTAAAACTTTGAGTTACTGTAATTTAAAAAAAAAAACCTTAGCTGTTTTGCATTTATATTGACTTACTTTTGCATTATTGTTATTTCATCAGGAAAAAATTGACTCAAATAACTTTTAGATATGATTTCCAAAAGGTGACTGAGTTCATAAACATGACTGGATTGGATTTGGATACCAAAAAGTTTTCCAGTGAAACATAACGTACAATTTTATGTTGAAAATGTATGGCAAAGTAGAGGGTCGTTATACCAAAACTGACTCCACAGACTGCCTTCAGGAGTGTATCTACTACAAAAATTCAGCTTAACGCTAAAGTGTAGAGGGCACAGAATTACTAAGAAGCCTTTGAAATAACCAAGTCTAGGCAGGCCAAACGTATTTCTGATGGGACTGAACTTAAGCTGGATTTGTGGGAGTAGAGAGACGTAGACTGAACGAGAGAGAGAGGACAGTGCAGAACTGGCAAGGAAGATGGTCTATTATATGCTGTATACTCAGCAAGCATTAGCAGCTGGAATAAAGAGTTGAGGTGAGGGCAGAATCCTGAGACCTTTGAAAGCTCCCTAAACCTATAGATGAAGATCAGACTCATTTGTTTAGCCTTCATGGCCTTCCTAGACCCATCCCACTCCTCTCCAGCCTCCTCTACTCCAGCTAGATGGGTCCACCTCAATCTCCTATCAGCCTGCCAGACTTCAGAACTATTAGCCCAGATTGAGAGTATGGTTCTCAGTGCTTGGCTGTGTGTTAGTGTCGACCTGTGAAGTTTTGTCAGCCTTGCTGTTTGTTTTTAATGTATCTGTCCGTCCTCCCCCAAAAAAGAGAGGACAGATATATTAAATGCCTTGGCATCAGCACCCAGGTCTAATGCAAGTTTGTGGAGACACTGGTAAAGAAAATCAACATTTGTTTTGAGGGTGATTTTAATGAGTCTGATAATGATTGACACCTCCCTACAGAAACATGATACGAAGGTCACAAAGAGAGACACGCATTTGTCCTCCCGGTGGCAGATTAATGACTTTTTGAAAGCTGCTGTCTTCAAGAGCCTTCAAGAAGTATCACAGCCAGACACAACTGAGGAATAGAAGTCAGCGATTCTCCCCAGTCTCTCAGCATCCTCCAGATAGGCGGCTTGGTCTGTAAGTCAGCTACACTCACAAAAGGGACTTCAGCTTCTGTTGTTCTCCCTTTTAAAACATCCAGCATGAGAACAGCCTTGAAAGCAGGGGAAACAGCCCAAGTTGGTTGCCAAATAGTCTGCATGTGGGCTCTAGCTGTTTACCGGAGTTGTTAGGAACACAAGCTGCAAAGGGAGTGCAAGGACAGCTCCTCTCCTTGGAGGGAGGGTATTGTTGAAGGCTTCCCACTCTACCCCCTGGTTCAGTGATTCCAGAAGGGCTCACAGAACTCAGAAAAGCTGTTATATGCACTGCCATGGTTAACTACAGAGAAAGGACACAGGTTAAAATCAGGAGAGAGACCAGGCACAAGCTTCCAGCTCTCCTTTCCCAGTGGAGTTATAGGGATACACTTAATTCTCCCAGAAACAACGTGTGACAACACCTATACAGTATTGCCAATCAGGGGAGTTCGCCAACTCTTAGTGTCTAAGGTTTTACTGAGGGTCAGCCATATAGGCATGGAGCACCCTTGTGGCTGACGTTTGTCTCTCAGCCTCCAGGACTCTAGAGGTCAAACTGATACCACATGCCCCAGACCCCCACCATAAATCACACCGTTAGTATAAGCCATCCAGTGTGGTTCAAGGCCACAGGTAAACAATGACACTCTTGTCAAGTATCCTATTCTAAGGTCTCAGAGGTTCTCTCTCAGGACCCAGCGAAAGGCCAGACCTTTCTTTGGGGGGTGTGTGTGTGTGTGTGTGTTCTGCTTGTGTTTTCATAAAGGAAAAGAAGTACTTCTCTGGGACCTCACATTCCTTACTCTTAGAATGAAGGACAAAACTGAAGTGCAATCATCCATGTCTTTGAGGTCTTGATTTTAGGTCTATAAAGCACAATACTTTTCAATCCCACATATAACAGAAGAGTATAATGTATATGCTGAGAAACAAGAATGAAAGCCTAAGTCTTTCAACATTTTCTGTGTGAATTAACCTTCTGCTAAACATTCTGAAAAGTCAAGAAACAGTTTTTAGCCTTGAAATAGTCTTGGTTTTCAGTATTTTCTTTCCCTCTTCCATACACTTGGCTATCAGATATTTTTTTAAACATGTATTTACCGAAATATCCAGTGTTGAAGTTTTGAGAGGCCTCAAATGCAAGTCAGAACATCTTAATACAATTCTCCTAAAGAGAGACTAACATAATGTACACAAGAAATCCTCTCCCTCCGATTATACCCTGTCCATGAACTCTCTCTGTTGTTTGGGTTTTTTTTTTAAAACAAAACTCTTATCTATTTTTTTGCTGCCTACTTTAAAGTATTTGCACATTAAATCTGTGGTCTTGGATCCATGTTGGTTTCTTTGTGTCT